ATTAATCACTATCCAAGGTAATAGAGCGCCGAAGGCGCGACCATAGCAAACAAACTCGCTAGTTTATTATATTATTTAACGTTTGCCGCCACTTCTCCTCAATTTTTCAATTCAATCAAAAACAGTGAATACATTTATTTGAATGAAAAATATGGGAATTTTCATTCTCATTTAATCAATTCACATCCTTTTATGATCCATTGCGCGATACCATATACATCCATACGGCACGCACGATTTTCTAATATTTTCCCCTAAATTCTTGGACATCCGGCACCAATGGGTCAACTCGCTCCAACTAGAAACATTTCGGATCTTCCCCACTTTCGCCAAACGTCCGCGAATCGCGTCCAGATCCGCTCGCGTTCGCGATAATCCAATAATCCAGTAATCGCTCCTTCCCCTTTGACTCTCGTCCCCGAAGAATTCCGTCGACCAGGCTGCTTCCAGATCCGCGTCCAGGAAATTTGTACGACTCGTTTTTTCCGCAATCCTCTTCTCCATGTTCGCAACGTCTGCCGCGCTCACGCTCTTGTGGGAATAGACGTGGATGAAAAGAATTTTTTTCTCCTCGATGTCCTTGTTCTTCTCGATGTAGGTGATCAGATCATCCTGCGAGCAGAGCTTAGCACGGCAAGGGGGAATCTGATAAGATAAAGGATCTTGATACCTTATAATAAATATTTATAAATAAATAAAAGTATTTATAAATAAATATATGTAAATGATATGATCTTATCTTAATGCACATATGCAATGCTGAGTTCGATCCCAAAGGATTGCAATGTCACATAATAAATATTGGCAGGAATCCCCACTCTTGAAATCAATATTATACTCGATTGGTATTTTTCATTTAATGAAGGAAAACTTGTTTCTTGCCCTCCTTTCGGTTATTGGGCAGTAGTGCTTTTTTTCCATGGCGTTGAAGTTGTATAGTTGTCATTGTGTACAAGATTATGTTCCATTATTGGAAATCCAGATCTCTGTGATTTTCTCCGAGTTTCACTATGGCAATCCCATTAGGAAAAGTCCAATGTATGTCCAAGGAAAAACTCAGCGGGAAAAGGGGAAAAGGTCGCTTTAGTCGTAAAACAGACCAAAAGAGTGGTATAAAGGAGCAAACTGAGAGGAAATTCAAATAGCGGAAACACACGTGTTGCACAAAGTAATGCCATAAATATTGTAAAATATTGTAAAATATTGTGGTCAATACTGTAAAATATTGTGGTCAATATTGCAAAATATTGGCGATGTTTTGTGATAAAAATCCATTTTCCCCATATAATTTAAGCCAGATTTGGGAAGCAAGCATTCCCAACAAACACAGAGTGTTGAAGTGTTTGTCTTCGTGGTGATGGTGCTTGATAAATACTTTCACGAATAAGTTCCTGGACTTGCAAAAAAAATTGCGAACCCCTGCACCACGTAGATCAACGGGAAATTCTCAATCGTTCAGTAACTTTAATTGGTGCAGCTTCGTCCTGCGACGACGGAAAGAAATCCTGAGAGAACCCTTCTAGTTATTCAGATTCGACCCTTAATGAGACCCCACCACTTCCAATTTATTCAGAGTATTTAATTTTCTGCCTCAATATCCATCTTTTTCTTTTCAAGATGGATATTTCATGGATTGATGGATAGTTTTCAAGAAAGAAAGCTAAAAAAATTTGAAGACCCAAAATAACTTAAATCAAGATGATTTCGCTTCAACGGCGACGGGATTACCGTGGAAGTCACACAAGAAAAATAGCGGAAGAAAACAGTTTATAAGCCAAAATTAATTTATAAGCCAAAGGCAATTTATAAGCCAAAGGCAATTTATTAGCCAAAGGCAATTTATAAGCCAAATACCTGTGTCGCCTGTGATTGGGGTGAAACCGTTTCATCTTGCTTTGGGAGAGAAAATCCGGATGCAGATTCGACATGCACATCGGGCAACCGCCGCTGCAATTCAGCGACCTAAGATCGGAACTCCTCATGGACTCCATTTTCTTTGTAAATGATAATTAATGGAATGGAATGTGAGACCTGATTTCTACTTCTCTCGAGTTCTACCTCGATCGTGTGGTGCTTTCGCTTCGTCTCTTCGTGCGTAGTTTGCTCCCTCTTGAGCTGCTCCTCGAGGCGATTCGCCCTCTCTTCGGCGGCCAACAGCTTCCGCTGCAGTTCTTCCATCTGCGATCATGGGTCACCATATCAACTCTGACTCGTTCCAGAGAAACGTTTTTGAACAAATAAAAATTAGACCAAATGACAGACTTTATATCTGCTCACCTTGAGTTCTCTCGCGGCAATGGGTTTCTTTTACGCTGTAAAATGAGTCGAAAACAGCCCTAGCTTTTTTTTCGACGAGTGACGTCGCGTAAGCGCTGAAATACTTTTGATGGAATGCCGTCAGTGTGCACAATGCATTGTCCATACGATGTTCTTGTTTAAAAGCTGGTATTCTGATGCTTCCCTACTTTCTAGGGTATTTCGATGCCTGCATTAATGGCGAATTTCGATGCATCAAAAGATCGTGGCAGCATTAAAAACTCCTACCGATTCTGTATTAAAGCAATAACGGAAAATGCTTGATTCCCCGGGAAAGAAAAATTCCTTGAGTGCATTTAATGAAGACATGGAACTTCCTGGTGGACGAAGCCAAAACCATCTACTAACATTTTCTCTTTCATAGGAATATATTAATATGGACAATATGAACATTCATTAGTTTCTTACTGCACCATATTCATAAGGTATGAGCACATGTTTACTCAAGAAATCGTTTGAAAAGGAAGTAGTCCGTCGGAGGAAGAAAGATTCAGTTTGAATGTAGGCTTCTCAACATTTCATTAATGGTCTTAAGGCACGAATGGCCTTTCTGTTTGTTACGGAGCAGCCCCAAAACCTGAGTAGTCCTAAGCCCTAATAATTTGCTAATACTTTGTGGGTATTTGATCCACATGGCTTATGCTCAGCGATGAGTCACATTTTAACATATTTTCATGAGAAGGCAGTCGACCCAAGTAGTATAGCTTAATTGACCTGTTTTTGAGAAACCCGATTGGTTTCGTAACGGAACTCACCATACCCTTATGAAAAGATCCTATTGGATTCTTATTTTAAAAAATATCCTCATATATATTATAAGAAATAAATAAATATATTTATAAAATAAAAAAGAAAGTGTGTACCATGAGAATACACTAGTTACATATTATTCTTTCCCTCTGCCTATTGCTCTGCATGACTTTAGCTTCCCATCAGTGAAACCTTGATCAGGGATGGTGATGCTGGCAAACATGCTAAAACTCAGCATGAGTGAGATGCGGTGGAGGTCGGAGGAAAACATGCAATGGATGCAGAAAATCTCGAGTCGGTGACTCAGAGAGTCAATGGCGCAAATCCTAACCGTGTTCTAGATTTTCCAGGAACGTGAAACGTGGTACAGCAATAGCTGTTTGGATACTGACTCATTTAAATATCCGTCTTTTTTTTTTTGGTTACGTACCCCAGGAGGGCCCATTTTCCCAGAGGGATATATTTCAGGAAATTGTTTCATTTTCAATTGTTTAAGATAGAAAAAAGCTGAACATGAAGGTACTTCATAAGAAGCTGCTTTCAGTAAAAATTACTTTTTCAATTTGCATGGTGTATTCAAATAGACTCCCCGAATTTGGTTGCTCATAATTCTATGACAAAAATTGATAGTAATGTAAAACTCTCACTACACATTATTTGCTAGACCAATATCAGAATGATGACTTTAAAACACCTGAAAATTGTTCACCACCAAGACAAACATCGGATGATAACAATGAATCTTTGCTGTAACATTTTCATAAGTATTGGATCCCAAATAATCAGCAGCTGTCGAGTCATAGAGACAGTGCAGACCCTTCAATCGTACCTAACTTGCCTGCTACCGAATCCGATCAGAGGGCATTTAAAGGGCAGATCTTCCATGCGACTAAATTCAGCCTCATGGCAGAATTACAGACATGCATCGCAGGGAAATTTGAGGCTGTTTCATTGTACATCTATTGATTTCCTTCATCGTGTCAAAAAATGACTCGATATACGAGGTGAACAGTTTGAAGGCGTTCGAAAATGATTTCATCCTGAGGGTGTTGCTGCATATTAAGAATGGTGAGAGCAATGTGCTGAAGCTTGTTTTACTGTACTGCTAGTTTAGTTATGGAATTTATAAGCTACCAAAATAGAGGAGTCTATTCTGATGCCCTATACATCCCCTGGGTGCGCGTTTTTTTGTCAATATGCTTCTCAAAAAAATTTTTTTTTCGGTCCATAAAATCAGGCCCATATAAAAAGCCAAACCTTAGCCCACAGATAGTTATTGTTAGTGATGTTGAGATCAGAATAATTTTTTTTTTGAGTTAGAGACTCTCAAGACTCAACTTTTGTGCGACACGTTTTTCACCCATTCACCATTCGCGAATGGTATGCAACAATATTGAGCGTTTGGGAGCCTGTTCCCTTTCGTCAACTCCTTCCTATAAAACGAAATTCAACCTCTTCGTATTCCTTCCTGGGAGTTTCTAGAGCAGTGGTTCTTAACCTTAAGTTTTCTCCCATTGGATCTTCATGCATTCGGAAGGTAATCACTCCCAGGTTGAGAATCACTGATCTTGAGGAACGAGATCGGGCGTGCTTCTCCCGCTCTCAACATCGAGTCGATCCAGCAAATTAGAAGCTTCGATTCCGCGAAGGTGCAGAGGGCAGTGATTTTCGCCTTTTGAAGATGTTAAGTTCGCAGATTCAGATGTGAAGGCACGATCTCCAGATCTGACTCCACTTGATTTCTGGTCGTGGGGTCAGTCGTCCTCAAGTCAGTTGTCTGTCGTACAGCACCTGCTACCATAACCGACTTGAAAGATGCCGTCCGACACGTTATTGCCTGCATGAACATTGATAAAACTTCCCTCAGCTGTCATGTCATCCCACGACTGCAAGCCGTATTGGACATGAATGGTGGCAATATTGAGCAGATGATATGCATCTGGTGGACATTGTCGTTGACCACAGAAACGCGTTTCCTATTATCTCAAAGAATTGTCCGTCAATTATTTTTGCTCAACGATTCCGGACACAGGTGTTTGAGCTCGCCAATCAAATTCATAAGGTTGCCAATCAACCTACATTAGGTAGAGTGGAGAACTACCCATCGGCCGAAGTAGGCGTAACAACTAAAATTGAACTCGAGATGCATGCTTCAGCGAAAGTACAAACGCCTATCTTAATCATGTCCCTCAGGTACCTTTTTCTCAAACGTATTTTTTTTTATCGTATTAGGAGTTGCATTTGGTTTAGTCTGCTTTGGTTTAGAGCAATGGTACTCAATATTTTCGGCTAGGGGGCCACATAGCTCACTCCCACAGCCATCGCAGGCCAGTCGCTAGTATTGTAGGAGACTATTTTAAGGAAACCAAAGGGTATTTATTGTAGATTAGGGTCTCGAGAGCCACGGGTTGGGCACCACTGATTTAGAGGGAGTTTCCGATATGAAGTAGAAATTGTATGCTTCCAAGCAACGAGACGACTCTCTCACCCGTTCGACAGCACTCGGGGTGGCGACTGTCTCTCCGTTTCCCAGCATGCGAGGATCTTCGTCCTCCCGCAATCTATGGATGATAGGGCGTGGATGCATCTCAGAAGTTGAGAATCCTTTTTTGGATTAATAGACGACCCTTGAAGGCCCCGTTGTTTGGGGTAATATGGGATTACCTAAATAGTTCCTAATTTTATCCGGTGCAATCGCCATGTGGCTGCAGTAATTAAGAGAAAAAACTGCACTTATCGACTTTATGCGGATCTTTCTCTCATTTGAGGCCAGATAAGCCTTCCAGGACTGCACCAGAAACTTCTGCCCATCATTCTCGCTTCCAGTCATCATTGAACACAGTTAAACGTTGTGTCCTGAGTGCGCAAAGGTCTGATTCAAGTCGTCGCAGCAGCCAACTTGCATTTGGAAATGATTAACGGCGACTCACCTTCTCTCTCCTGAAGAGTGACAAGAAATATTAGAGGCTGAGGATGAGCGATGAATTGTGCCTTTCCGGTCACCATTAGATGAGTCCATGATCTCTATGGAAAAAATCATCTGAACTAGTCTTGACCACTAAAATGTGCCTATTTCTGTAGCCTATTTCTATTTCTGTACCATCCCTGATGATAAACTCTGAGAAACTAGACTAAACTAAACTGAGAAAGTTGCAGAACTCACCCTGACGAAATTTCCCGGCAAGGTCTCTTTGACCTTTCTCTTCCAGACACTCCAAGAATTTCTGGAATGCCGTGTCTCCCTTCTGGGGCAGTTTTTCCTGAATGAACAGTATTTTGTCCTTTTGAGATTTTTTCTGGATCTCGACGTGCTCGACGTGATCGATGACTTGTTTCCTCAGCAAGCATGCAATCACCGCGTCGTGGTCGATGAAGTCTAGATCGTCATAGTGTTCGGCGAGGATTCGAGCAACTGTCTTTCCATGCACATGGAGCTCTTCCTCTTTCGAACGATTCGCCATCGCTGAAGAAAAAGAAGTTTTACATTTTTCTGCCATTTCGACCGATACAGGTGTTGCAGTCACACACACAGCACGGGTACGGTAATGAAACAAGGAAGAAACGGTGAAGCTACCACTCCAAAAATCACCCTCGAATCCTAGTTATATTACCATCCTGGGATGGTCATGTAACCATGCCCTGAGGGTGCACACACAGCACGTGTACGGTAAGGAAACAAGGAAGAAACGGTGAAGCTACCAGTCCAAAAATCACCCTCGAATCCTAGTTATATTACCATCCTGGGATAGTGATGTAACCATGCCCTTACGGTGGTTTTTGGACTAGGAACTTCACCATTCCTTCTTTGCCTCACTGCTCTCTTCCTGTGCGTGTGGTAACCTTACCATGCCTAGGGAATGCATCTATACAGGCGCCATTTGAAGGCAATATAACAAGGCAAGGCAAGTGGCCTTTGGAGTGGTACTTCACCGGCATCTTA